AGGTGCAGATAGTTTGTGTGGACGGCTCGTGGAGAAGATTAATTCCAATCATGGGCCCAAGCTTGTATTGGCGCACATGCCATTGCTGATGGTTTGTCTTGAAGGATTGGGAAAATTGGCACAGAAATTTCCCAATATAGCCAGCACGTCTATATATTATTTACGAGACTTCCTAATTGCACCATCGCCAATTCTTTTGAAACTATATCGACAGCACAGTGAATATTCCATGAAGGAACATCAATTTAAAGTGTTGGGTAAAACAGCTTTATTTTGCTTTATTATAAATATTATTAATTTGATTAATCTTAAAGTTATTATTTATTCTAAATAGTAGATGTAATATATATATATGCACACGTTTTAACAGTTCAAGGAAAGGAAATAAGCGATTCAAAGCAGACGACATCATCAGTACACACGGCATTTGAAAAACTTCGCGACGCGGCCATCGGCAATCTCTGCATCGCTCTGGAAGCCGCGCATTCCGTGAATCCGGACTGCGTTCCAGCGCTCGTGGCCAGTGTCTCGAACAGATTATACACTGCAGACATATCCGACGGGTATTTTTCATCGAAAGAATTTACAATTTTTCGAGTCAATACATGTCAAAGCGAAATTGTAATTTTTGCTTGATTTCAGCGAGAGCGACGAGAAATTGAAGAACGAAGTGGTGTCAAAGAACATTGTGATCATGTTGGGTCACGTCGCCGTGGCGCTAAAGGACACCCCGAAAACGATGCGCACGATTTTCCCATTTTTTCAACAGCTCTTCTGCCGTACTCCCAGCGATCTCGATTTCCTCATAGTGGATCAATTGGGTTGCATGATCATTGCTAAGTGCGAACCAAAGGTGTGAACAGCACTCGGAATATATTCAGAGTTATTTATAATATAGTTTATATAACTATTATTATGATTTTTTTAATGCAGATTTATGAAGGAATAATGCAGATGTTCTCCATGTCATTGGGATCGAGTACAGCAACATATGCCGCGAGCGACGATCGCAAACAGTACTGTCATGTATCCAAGGCGGTTACCAATGCCTTAGCAAACATAGCGGCGAATCTGCAGGGTGAGTCGGAATTGGACGATTTGTTGCTTCATCTTCTAGAACTCTTCGTGCAGTTGGGTCTTGAGGGTAAACGTGCCAGCGATAAAATGCCGAATAGTATCGCGACGGTAAATCACTTAAACTCTAGTCATCTTGATAAAATGTCAGAAATAATTAGAAAATATTATTTCATATGATATACTATATCATATACAGAAAACAGCTAGTAGCGCCGGAAATCTAGGAGTTCTCATCCCCGTGATTGCGATATTAATGCGACGTCTACCGCCAATCAGACATCCACAGAAACGACTTCTAAAGCTGTTTAAGGATTTTTGGTTGTACTGCGTAATAATGGGTTTCGCTACCGATCATTCCTCGAGATTGTGGCCATCCGAATGGCATGAGGGCGTTAAAGAAATCGCCGTCAAGTCACCTTACCTTATTTCTCAGACCAGTGCCCGTCTGGAAATGCGAGAGTTGCAGTATACATCGGCGGTGCGCAATGACAGTGTCTCATTGAATGAGCTACAAGAGCTGCGGAGTCAAGTATTGAAGATAAGCACTCGGTACGATTTACATTTAATCCCTGGTTCTATTATCTAATAATATCAATTGTTTGAAGAATGTTTATATTTTTATTACATGGACATTTTTCTATTTTTAATTAAGAAATTTATTCACTTTATTATAAATTTAGACACTTTATTTTATTATCGAATATTTTTCTAAATTTTCCAAACTTGTTATGAAATTTCTGTAATTTTTTTTTTCAGTACAAACGACATATCAGCATATGTGACTAAATTACAATTTGCGCAATGCACATACTTGCTCTCCGTCTATTGGTCAGAGACCTTACGGGTGGCTAACAGTTCTGAACCGAGTCTGCAACCAATAATGGAATACTTATGCGACACCGATTTACAGAAGGACAAGAGCGGTATGTGGCAGTGCATATGCTGTATAGCGGATTCTGTATTTGCAAAATTCAAGGATGTGATGCAACGTAAACCGAAGGATGAGCAACGTGAGAAAGAGCTCGAGAATCATGCGCAATTTCTGCTGGTGCGTTTTAATCACGTTCACAAGTTGATTAGGCGGGTGGCGGATAAATACCTCAGTGCTTTAGTGGACGCTTTTCCACATCTGTTGTGGAACTGCAAAGTTCTTTGGAGTATGTTGGACATATTACAGGTATATTTATCATTTTACTGTACTTTACACTTTACCAGACTTCTTTACTATATGATCATTGCAGATTTTATCGTACTCATTACAACTTGATCCAAATGAAGAAACTCCTAGCTTAAGAATACCTGGCACGCCATACAGCATTGAGTTGATGAATACTCTTGAAGCAAGAGAGGTTGATATTACTATATGCTTTACTTGTTAAAATAAAAAATAATTTCTATAACGTTATGTGAATTGCAGATTATCGTGAAGGATTTTACCGCAAGATGCAAGGGCATTGTACAGGAAGCCATGAAGTGGGCACCGCAAGCTACCAAGTCGCATTTACAAGAATACATTAATCAAATACCGTCTTCTGGCATGCGAAATCATTCTGGTTTATCGCTGGCTATTGACTCAGTCCTTGAATTTGTGGATACTGCAATTCCCACAATAGTTCCAGCAAATGTATGTAGCAATGTTACAACGTATCACATATCGTTTTACTTTAAGTTTTAGAATTATCTTAATATAATTCTATCAAGAGTTTCTACCAATACAGTTCAATTTTAATTTTCAATTAATTTTTCATCTTTTTCTAATTCTAAGAATTAGAAAAAAAATCAGAACTGAAATTAAAGTTCATTAAATCTACATTGATAGAAACGGATACTAATCATTCGTTTTTATTAACGCATTGTAATTATTTCGATATTAATTTTATTAATGGATAAATGTATTTAATAGACAAATTCCTTGGATAAGAGGCCACGCGGTCCAAAGGGCGCAAGTTCGTGGTTGCTGTCGATGATGTCTACAAGATCATGGCACGCCGGTGAAGTAGCGGGTATGCTCGCCCTTGCGCGCACCGAATCGCCAACCGCGGAAATGACTCTCGAAGAGTGCAGGGATAAAGTCGTCGAGAGATTGATCGAAGCTGTTCGCCGCGCCTGTCAGGATCGCGACGATACTACCCATCGAGGAGCTCTTTGGCGTGCTACCGCTCTTTTAATATCCATGCCTGGTAAATTTAAACTAATCAACTTTTAATTTTAAACCTTATGAAGTTAAACAATTAATTTTAGAAAATTGGATTTATTAATACAATTTATTAATCAGCTTTTTTTCTATTTGCACTAATTGGATTTTGTATTTTTAGGTATACACAGACGATTATTACACACGGTTGCATGCTCGCAGATAGAATTGTTCACAACCGCAGCCATGACCACAGCGGTTGAGTGCTGGCAGTGGATCTTAACTGTACGACCAGATTTAAAGTTGCGATTTTTACAAGAGATGTTACTCGCATGGCAGTATACCGTTGATAAGAAAATGGGTCTATTTACATCGAACGAGCGAGAGATCAGTCCTCTTGCGGTCTATGAGGGTTGCAAACTTGGTCCTAATCCGCCGTATGTAAAACCGCACGATATCTGGGTGACCTTCATAGTGGAGCTCGTCGAGACAGCCAAGTACTGTTGCCAGGAGACGGTTGATATGATCGCTTTACTCTTGCATCGCTCGTTACCTATGACCGTCGGTGCATCTGGCGAAGAACCCGGTATCACACGACATGTCGCTGCAGTCGGCGTACGTTTTAAACTTCTTTCATGTGGCTTAGTATTGCTGCAAGGTGACGTTTTACCAAGGTAATATATTTTTTTTCATTATTGCTTGAATATTGCGATGGAAAAATAATTGGATCTACTTTCGCAGAACTTTAAGTAAGAATGTCCTGCGAGAACGTGTCTATTCCAATTGTCTGGATTACTTCTGCCGAGAACGTCAGTTGCCAACCCAAGAAATTGATCAGCTTAGCGAAGACATAGTTACACTCATACGTTTTTGGCAGGTAAGTGCAGCATGTTAAAAATTAAGGAGCGAATAAGATATTCTGATTTATATAGAAATAATTTAGAAATTATTGTAAACATAGAAATTTATATGAAATTATTTTTTTTATTTTCTTAATAAAATTCTGGAATTTGTATTCACGACTGGCATTTATAACTCTGTTTTATGTATTTCTGCAGGTGATGCATAGCGACAAGAAATACTTAATGATGACAGGAGCCGACAATGAGTTTGAGATAGTAACATCTCAAACTTATACAACCGCAATGATTCCAAGCGAGACAATTGGTTCGTTAGCTGCCACATTGGCTCCTACACCAAATGACTTCTCAAGATCTTCCAGCAACGTGTGGATGAGTACTATGCCTATGTCGACCAGCACCAATACATTGAGCAAACGTAGCAATCGCAGTAAACGAATTGTAAATGCTAATGTTCTTGTGAAAGATTACATCAAGAAGCGAAATTTGATTCTCGAGTTGTTAGCGGTTGAAATTGAAATGTTACTAGTGAGTTCTCTTATAGTGAATTACTATAATTTGTCGCATTTTAATGAAAATCAGCTTTTCAAACATTAAAATCTCGTTTTTTGTCCAGGTATGGCGTAATCCCAGCGGAAGAGCGGAACTTGCGTTGCAAGGTGAAGTAAGTATCGCGGATTGGCGTGCCAAGGGGATGAACGATCGCTGGCGAGAATATACGCGACTCGCGTGGGAGATCAGTCCCGTTTTGGCCATATTTTTACCAGTGCGATTAAAGAATCACGAAGTCATCATCAAAGAAATTTGTGGCTTAGTGCGCCTTAAACCCGTGCCAGTCATGCATTTGTCGGAAGCATTGCAGTATCTTGTTACAACAGACACGCTTCTCAACGATGTACCTGAAGTGAGATTTTTAACTTTACTCTTTGTCAATAATTATAAATTATTCAATTTCTACTGAGATCTGTTAGAGATTGTTATCTCATTTATAAAATTTGGATTCTGTTTCAGTTAGTTTATATGTTAGCATGGGAAAGAGTATCTCCAATTCAAGCGCTGGCATTTTTCTCACGACAATTTCCGCATCATCCCATCTCGGCGCAATATGCGGTGCACGTGTTAGACAGCTACCCCGCCGACGCCGTGCTCTTCTATATACCTCAACTAGTGCAAGCCATTCGTCATGATTCAATGGGCTACGTAATCGAATTTATTAAGAAGATTGCTAAACGATCACAGGTACTATAAGTATTGCAAAATTTAAATTGTAAAATTTAAATTGTATTAAACTAACAGAATTAAATGTAACGTGCTTTGACTTAACATGTTTTAGGTAGTGGCACATCAGTTGATATGGAATATGCACACTAATGTATATACGGACGAGGATAAGCAGATAAAAGATCCGGTACTGTACGACGTATTAGATTCGTTGACAAAGAATATTCTGAATGCCCTGTCTGGCCCAGCAAAACAATTCTACGAGAGGGAGTTCGACTTTTTTGAGAAGATTACTAACATCTCGGGCGAAATTCGGCCGTATCCCAAAGGGCCAGAACGCAAAGCCGCGTGCTTAGATGCTTTAGCAAAAGTCCAAGTACAACCTGGTTGCTATCTACCATCGAATCCCGAAGCGATGGTCATCGATATAGATTATCAAAGTGGTACTCCTATGCAAAGGTATGATTTAAGATAGTTAAAAAGACAATGATATGAATTCTGTCATAAAATACTATGCAATTATCTTATAATTACAGTGCTGCTAAGGCACCATTTTTAGCGCGCTTCAAAGTACAGAGATATGGCATCATTGAGCTCGAGAATATAGCGCTAGCAGTGTCGACCAACGGAAAAGTCGACAGCAAGAAAGATACGGAAGAACAGACATGGCAGGCCGCTATTTTCAAAGTCGGAGATGACGTTAGGCAAGACATGCTCGCCCTGCAAGTGATCAGCATCTTTAAGAATGTATTTCAGAAAGTTGGGCTGAATCTCTTCCTGTTTCCCTACAGAGTGGTGGCCACAGCTCCTGGGGTAAAATATTGATTTCTTGTAATGAATATGCTCTCTGATAGATAAATTATATCTCATTTATAATTATATTGTTATTAGTGCGGTGTAATAGAATGTGTGCCACACGCAACATCAAGAGATCAACTTGGCCGTACAACGGACAATGACATGTATCAATACTTCATCGCACAACATGGCGACGAGACGACCAAGGAATTCCAAAACGTTCGACGCAACTTTGTCAAATCAATGGCGGCATACAGTGTGATTACCTACCTTTTACAGATAAAGGATCGTCACAATGGCAACATCATGATAGACACCCAAGGCCATATCATACACATTGATTTTGGTTTTATGTTCGAGAGCTCGCCCGGTGGTAATCTGGGCTTCGAGCCTGATATCAAGCTGACTGACGAGATGGTTCTCGTGATGGGTGGTAAAATGGAAGCTGCACCGTTTCGTTGGTTTATGGAACTGTGCGTGCAGGCTTTCCTCGCAGTTAGGTGAGTATTATTTTCATCAATATAATTAAAAAATCTACACTACATTCTATATATTGCAATAAAAAAATAAGATTACATTTAGATATATATAAATGTGTCTCAAACCATTAATTTAATAGGTAGTAATAATTTAAATATATCCTTAAATATTTTTTATTTTGTAGGCCTTATCAGGAAGCTATCATCTCTCTCGTCTCTCTCATGCTCGATACAGGATTACCATGTTTCCGCGGGCAAACTATTAAACTTCTACGCAGCCGATTTGTGCCGACCGCCACTGATCGCGATGCAGCGATCTTTATGATCAATGTAATACGTAATAGCTACCTCAACTTCCGTACGAAAACTTACGATATGATACAGTATTATCAGAATCAAATCCCATATTGAATTATTGTCAGGAAACTTACTTCCGTCTCCTTCCCTTCTTCCTTCCCCGTCCATGTAATCGTTAATAGGCGACGCTTTATGCTCGCCATGACTGTTGTTATTGTATTAGACTCAACTTTATTGTACTGCAGTTGTTAGATATATCGCAGTATAACCACTGACTGTGAAACTGTACAAATGCATTGGTGTCAATATTACTTTAGTCCTAGTATTTTACAAAAACGTTTAATCTTGTATGTATGTAATAATGTATCATATTTATCTACGAGAGATCGCTTATATATGTATATGTCTGCCGTATGCAACACATTTGTATACGACTACATTCCTGTTATTAATTTATGCATTGTTAATGGATAAAAAATTAAATTACTTTAATCATGACAACATATTTAAAAATCCTCATCTCGCGATGCATTTCTCAATTACAACAATATTTAATTAAATTTTAACAGATATTCTGTAAAATATCAAGAGCAATATGTACACATTTTTTATTTAGCTTAATGTTTCCTGATGTCTTTATAATTTTACGTGATTATTTTTAGAGGATGTAATGAATAATTAAACAATAAATGAAAGCAATTTAATTTATTTTCTATATACAATAGCTAATTGAATAATGTTATATATACATCAGTATGTTTGTAACATAACACTAATAGTTAGCTTCTGAGAAGTTAAGAACTCCAATTATGGGTTTTCCCTGGAGTGATAAATTTCTTTTCGGCAATAGATGCCTTCCTAAAAGTTTCCAAGAAAATATCTTTACATCGACAGTTTAATTTGTATATTTAAGAAAGGATTTTTTTTTATATTTCTAAATTTATTGCTTTCCATAGATCAATTTTTTTAATTATTCTGATAATGTGTGTCTGCATGCAAAAAGATTTTATATACATGTTAATTGATTTTAATCCTTATAAGAGACTTATTCTATAATTTTTAACTGTAATGATTACAATATCATCATAACAGCTGTTAAAAATTATAAATAGGTCTCTTAATGTAAATTTTAAATGTAAAATTATTAATATGCTATAATATTGTGCATTATAATTAATATATTATGCAATATATTATATTATTTCACATAATTAATTGTCTGTATGTTTATACTTACTCTGTATCAATTTGTTTTGCTCCACCAATTAATATTGGTGGTTTAACTTCTCGTCTTGCATCTCGAGTGTAATAGTAAATTTGCGAAGTTTTATGGTTTGGACCACCCGGTATATTTGGTGGAGGTTGAGTACGCTTGGATTGGTCATCGGCATACCTATGGGGCAGTACGATTTTATTCTGCAAAAAATAAAATTTTAAACATACACCATCAAATTGTTATATAAAAACAACTAAAGGAACTTACATTTTTTAATTATTTGCTCAAAAAAAAATCTTTTGCCGAAAAAATATGTTATTCAAATATAGTAGATATTTCTAATTGATGTTCTTAGAGTTTATCATAAAGGATATGCGATACAAACAATGCAACTTTTTCAACTTCAAAATTTCTATTATATTTTTATATCAAAGAATCATGTTGCATATAAGAAGAAAAAAAGAATTTGTAGGAAAAATATACAAATTTTCCATAAAACGTCGGTCAAATTAAATTCAGCTCATCTGGATATAACCTCTCAAAAATCGTTAACTCAATTAACTCGTTTTCCAAACAGATGGCACAATTTCTTCAGAAAACGTGTATTTGAATTAATAAATTGAAGACTAATGCAAAATAGTATACAAAAATTCAGAAAAAAATAAGGCAGATTATATAATTAAAACGAATGTCATCACTTACACCTCGACAAACATCTCGAATAAAATTTATTAGTGGTGTAACACTCCGGTGTTCCACTGGGCCCGGCATGCTTCCTTCGTAAATTGATCGATACGATAATTAAACTTAATACATTTACTTCCGTAGTTAGAGAGTCACAGTTATTAACCTTAATCTCGACAAGTAAATATTGATAAATAACACTCGCATAGTATCGATACAAACCGACATGAATCGACTCGATTCTTCGTGACGTTTTTACAATCGATATTAAACGGTATAATTTTTATTTTATTAAAAAATGCCATCAATATTGGTGAATGTATAATTTTTAATTAATTGTAAAATAAGAAGACAAATTCACCCTATTTTTTTATGTGACTATTTTAATAATAATCAAAATATTGCTTCTTATGCAATGAAATATTCTAAGAATTCGAAAACTTTTAAATTTGTTTCGGTTTCTTTTAAATAACTCGTTTATAATCTTTTTTTCTATGTATACTGCTCAATTCAAAATTCTGAATACGAAATGCAGTTTTTCAATCCAAATGAATCTAATTGAATCCAATTGAATAAGAAAAAAATTCTTTTTTTTATTCAATTGAATTCAATGGAACAAAATACGAAATTTAAAATAGATAAGACTAAAAAAAAACAATATATTGTAAAAAGGGAACAAGATTAAAGGAATAACTTTTTGGAATTTAATTGGAATCAATGGATTGAAAATATGCATAAAAATTTCAGTCCAAATTTTAATCCATTTTCAATTACTGGGGCCCAACTGTAAAGTGTAAACACGATGGCGAATGGCGACAATGGCGAACATCGATGGTGAATAGTTAATTAATTTGTGCTAATTCGTTGATAGGAGCTGATGAAATAAAAAGATAAAGGAGAAAGGAAGTGGATGTCTTGGATGCGACAAGCGCGAGCAGTGAACCGGTAGTCGCTATGATATGCATCTGCGCTGCGTGAACGAGGGGGAATGAGAGGAAGAGGGAGATCGGCAAGAAAACAACATATGGACGCATTTGTATGAGGTAGATGAAGATTCCAAAGTTAAATATTCACGAAAGGCAAAGTAAGGCAAAGAACCTCGGAGCATCTCGTCGCATCAAATCGGATACGGTTGCCCTATGCGATTCGTATTTAACAAGTAAGAAACGACGCGTTCTGCGTGTAGGTTAGAGTTGCACAGAGATTAAAGTTTATTAAGATTTCTGTAATCATTGATGCCTTAATGATCAGTTAATAATACATTAGTGAATTAATTGTTGAACATTTGAGTCTCATTATAAAATAGAATTGTAGACTGTGATCTACAAACATTTGAACTTGACATAATTAGATTATGTTAAAATTTGATTGTCATTCTAGTTATTAATTCATTAGTGATGTAGTTATGTGACAGAATTGTAGTCTAAAATTGTAGTCAAATATTTGTATTGGCTGCCAGATAATAGATCTGCTTTCTGTAGCTAAAATATACATTTTTACTTAAAAGAACTTAAAATATATTTGTTATTTAGTTAAAGGGAGAAAGAAAGTTCTAAAAATAAAAAAAATGTTGTGTATTTATTGAAGAATTATTGATGCTCAATTATTAATGCTCAACTTATATTACAGTAAAAGCTATTGAACATTTGAGATCTGCAGTTGGATCTATATTATTATATACAAGCAAGCGTGAATTTGTGAGAGCCCTATTGTTTATTGTTTGATACTGCTACTTGTTGCATTAAACATATACCAATGTTGACGGAACAGAATGTGATTATGGAACTAACTGGTTCTAATGATACAGTGATTGGTTTTATCACTACCGATGATGGTCATGCGCTACTGATAGTAGATGGTAAGACGATAGACTTAACATATATATTACATGTTATAAACAATATAGATATAATAATTAAAATAATATAAGTATAATAATTAGAAGATATTCAATATTTTGATTCTGAAACTGTTGACAACAATTTGATATTGTTATTATCATTATACGACTTTTTTAAGACTTTTTTTAAATATTGGGTTGTCTGGAAAGTTCGTGCCGATGTTGAAGAAAAATTGAAACGCAGAAGATTTAAATTTTAGTATATATTTATTAAATTATATAGGTTAGTCGGCACGAACTTTTCGGACAACTCAATATAATGTGCAATGACATAACTACTGGTACTGTTATTAAGAATGATAGAATCAGGATACATAATTTTATAACTGCAATACATATATTATATAGCTTTCTATATGTATAATAATTAAAGATTTCGACATGTATATATAGAATTTCATGTTTAGCTCATTGGACTTATCAGAATTGTAATTTAAATTAAAATTAAATAAATAAACAGAAAATTTGTGAACACGTATATGTTCTATTAATGTCAAACCACTAAAGATTTCTTTTCAGAACGTGAGGACGGTACATTGGAATTTGTGACAACGCCACCAATCACATTTATGCCACAGAATAACATAGTATCTCCAACACTGATTAAAATGGAGGATGGAAATTTTATTTTACATTCGGTATGTGTAGCTAATAGTAGATTTGTTCTTTTTAGCTGAATTTTTTGCATAATTTATCATTCTTTTTCTTTTCATGTTGAAGAGAAAAAAAGAGGAAAAATGAACTATGCACAAGAAATTCAACTAAAAAAAAAAAACAGATCTAGTATCTTAAAAGCGTTGAGCAATAACGAGATGATCTATATTTGTTAGATGTTACATGTTTCTTTCTGTTTCAGCCTATTTTCCAAATGAATATGCAGGGTCTGTCGGGAACTGCGATGCAACAAACAAATCTACTGCCACGGATGCAATATTTAGAATCTAGATCTACAATTACGGAACAATTAAAAGTACAAGATAATGAATGTGCAGTTACAGAATATCTATTACCTATTAAAGATAATAGCAGTATGTTATCAGACAAAGGACAATTAACAATTAACAATCATGCTAAAAGCAAATCTACGCCTGCATTTAATACTATACAAAACGTCTACAAAAGATCTCCAGGGAGACCAAAGAAGAACGAAGTAAATCCGCAAGTATGTTAATATCATTGATGTCTACAACTGGAAAATATATTTTTATCGAAATGGAATGGTTAACATTTTATATAGGAATATATAGGAATTTTATTTTATACGTCATATAATATAAATTATTTTTATCACGAAATTATATATTAATATTTTGTTATAGAATACGCAGTTTTTGCAATGTGATATATGCAGTCAAGAATTTACTAAACAAGCATTATACCGTAAACATATGGAAAATCATGCCGAAGAAAAACCGCATAGATGTCCTAAATGTCCAGCATCATTTAATATTCCAGTAAGTATTTTAAAATATTTTCTATCATTGAGATTTTAAGAGAAAAGAGTTCCGTAATATGTTTCTATCTTAAGGAAACTGATACATTTATCAAGTATTCATTATATACTCATATTATACAATACATGTATTGCTGTATATAATTTTAATTAATATACGACATAAATAAGAAATTATATGAGAAAATTATATGAGAAAATTATATGGAGAAAATAGAAAAACAATTACATGACTAAAAAGTATATGTAGAGAACTTCTGTCAAATAAATTTGCTCGATTCGACTAATCTCTTATAGAATTAAATTAATAGTAGTAAGAGAGAAAGTTGCTTCTTAATCTTGGATGTGTTTGCAATGGATTCAGTCTAGTAACTTCAATATATAATGGTATCATTACAGACAAATTTCACGCTTCATATGGCAACGCATAATACCGGTGACCCAAAATGCCCCGAATGCGGTAGGAAATATGCCAGAATGGCGAGTCTTAAGTCTCACATGTTGCTGCATGAAAAGGAGGAAAATCTCTTTTGCACGGAGTGTGAAGATGCCTTTTCGACGAAGGTGAGTTTGAGATTATTCACATTTTATGTATAAAGGAATTTTTTTTTATATGTAAAATGACAGAGCAGTTCAAGATTCAACATTTTTGTGTATATAATTTTGATAAGTTAAAATTTTAATCACAAATAGGCAGATTTTGCCTCTGACGATTTTGAAACAGTCTATATAAAAGCTGTATCGCGCTACGTAAGATTGCTTTATCGATGCTCTGTTCTAATGTATTTCTGCTGATCGCGCAGACCACCGATAACATTCATCATTGCGAATACGATATTCATAATTATTGCTAAGGTCTAAAACGTTGGTTGCTTGCCTTGTGTTCACTTATTCGTTCCTCAATTGATTCACGTGTCCTAGTTTACGTCGAGGTCATAAACTTCGATTAATAACAAATTCTAATTACCTATTTAATATTCGCAAATCTATGAATTGTATTTGTTATTGTTTTATAGCATCTTGATCGATTGGTAAAAATCAATTCTCTTTGGTAAAAATTATTAACGAATAAAATTTAGCAAAAATAAATTTGGTTTTATTAATATACTGAATAAAACAGATGTTACGTTGTCTAATCGAGAGTCGATCTCGGACCCGTTATTTATTTGCTCGCCGCTAGCCATCCAGTCAAAATCAAATAATCATAGAAAAGAGGAACCCGCGATTCTGACCATGTTCTCTATAGCTGACTGCAGCAGGATAAATAGAGGAGATGATTTAATAATTCTCTTCAATGTTCTCGAAGATTAAGAGGGCATTATCTCATAGCGTCGTCAAAGTATGCTAGCAATGATTGGCCTTGTACACTTCGTAGCCATTAATGATATTTAGCTGCTTCATCCTTGCTACATATTCATAGAAGTATCTGTATAATTGTATATTTAATTATTAATAATTATCAATAATTCGCAGGGAATGGAATTAATGAATCAATGTATTTGAGATAACACACGTTAAACAACACTTCCTTCTGCTATTGATTAATTAAAGTTCTCGATTAAGCCTTTTAATTGATCAGTATAATAGAAGAAAGTGCGTTTTTGCTAGGAGAAGATTTCTCAATATGATAAAATCCCACAATGTATCCGACAATCTTCTAAGTTTAGACAATAAGAATTGATCGCCGCCGATTGTTGTAGCATGCGTGACCGTGATAGCACCGTGGGCCGTAAAACGTGGGCAAGTGGGTGGCAACAGCGGTCGTATTAATGGGGCGCACACGAATTACGCAACCGAATCGCATGATCTCACATAGATCTCTCGCCGATTGCCTTCATGTTTGACC